ACAGAAATACAATTGGCCAACGCACGGGCTGCTCGTGCGACAATGCGTTTTTTGCATAGCTCCCTGTAGATTTTTGTCGCCAACGGCACTGGTTTTTCTGGCAGATGCTTCTAGCTAAAAGAATTTGAGACTGGCCGCCAGGACTATTAGGAAACATCCCTTCAAAATCCCAGTCTTCTAGCTTCTCACTTTCCTGAGTTAGCAACTTACCCGAAAAAACTTTCACGGGCCCTTACGTAGGTACCACGCTTACACGCGGGCAGGGTTTGAACTCGTTAATACCTACTTTAACGGGGAACATTGCCGTAAGATTTCAGCGTTCTAGCTTCTCAGATCCCCGAGTTATGAACTTACTCGAAAAAAACTTTGGCGGGCCCGTACGCAGGTACCATGCTTACCCGGGTGATGGGTTTGCGTGCACTAATACCTAGTTGGACGGGGAACATTCTCCTAATATTTCAGCGTTCTAGCTTCTCAGATCCCCGAGTTATGAATTTACCCGAAAAAAATCTTGGCGGGCACGTACGCGGGACCACGCTTACCCAGGGGATGCTTTTCAGTGCATTAACACCCACTTGAGCGAGGAAGATCACCCCAAGATTTCAGCGTTCCAGCTTCTCAGATCCCCGAGTTATGAACTTACCCCAAAAAAACTTTGGCGGGCCCGTACGTGGGTGCAACGCGGGTTTCGGCGCCCATTCTGGGGATTGAGGCCGGCACGTGCACGTAGATTAAGTTCCCGAAATTTCAGCCCCGCAGCTTTTATAGGTCTTGAGATGAAAGTGCGTGACAGACGCAAATACAGACACACAGACAGCCTCACGTCAACATCTGTTTTCTGCATTGCACAGTCGCAAAAATGCATAAAAACAGATATACACTCATATACAAACTGTAAAACAGCCGGTGCTTAACAACCACCATTGGCGGATCCAGGCGGGGAGGGGGGTGAGAGGTGTTTTGTCTCCCCGTCCCCTTTTCAAGGTACAGGTGACAGTTATTTTACTGTAAAATACTCTCTTCGATACTCCTTGCCATTCCTTTCTTCCCTCCCCCCTCGTCCACCCACTCGCTGTCGTAGTTTAGATCGAACAGAGGGACGGAGGAGGGGGAGGGAGGAGGGGGAAGGCTGTGAGTTTTTCGATGCAGGGGGAAGGGGAATCGTCCAAATGCTCTCCTACTCCCCCGGAGAAGCGTCCTGGATCCGCCCGTGACAAGCACCCTCACGATGAAGCTTTCTAAGCCCAGACATGCTGCATGATTTCGCGCCATACTCAAGAAATAAGTCCAAAACAAGACTTTTAGTATTTTGGGGAATGGGGATAAAGTATGTCCAAGAAAATAGGCCTATCGAGCTCACATAAAGTGCTCTTTACTTTGCACCGAAATCAGAAAACCTCTCAGTTAGAAAGCCCTTTGATGGAGAAATTAACGCTGCATTGATTTGGTGGAAAACGATAACTACTAGAAACGTTCTGGAGGACACAGTGGTGATCAACACAGACGAAAAATATTTTGAAGCATGTAAAGCTTCGCCAAACAAATGCAGCTGGGAGAAACGTTGATCATGTAACCCGTTGAGAAGGAGAAACCGAATGTTAAGATCTTCAGCATGTCGACCATCAGGTAATGGAAGACTGGTCAAATTTACTAGAAAAGTTCCCAGTTGCGGGATGGACAAGTGGGTTATAAGCCAACTGTAGCAACCAGATTGACTTAGGAAGCCTGAATGGCAAAGGCGCGAAAAAACTGCAACATAATAGAACAGTGTGACAGAAGATAAGAGCGAGACAAGACGTTCCGGTCCATTAAGTCATATACGCTTAACTCAACACCTCGTCAATATGACGGCCGCAGTGCTTAATGGAAAAGGAAAAGAGAAAATTAGCAGCCCTATTCAAATATCCCAAGTTATGGAACTACGCCAATGTAAAATACACCGGAAAATCGAACCACCATAAGTTATACACATCATCTCGCTACTAGCCTAAAAGAAACCTATCACACCACTGTGACTGCGTCACCGTGCCTCGCTGGTGTCTTCTCGGACAAGAGACGAGATGTATTCGGTGGCAGACGGTATCGCACTACGATGACGTGAGAATTTCGCTTGTGGCAGTTTGGTGACATTCATTTCGGTATCAACGTTCAGCATCGGATTCCACATGCCTTGCACGGATGGCACAGCGGCACTCTGTTGCGAGACCAGATTGACCACCGGAAGACCACTGCGGGTACGCAACAAATTCAGATGTCTTTGCACTTGTACAGCGTCAAAATTCTTCAGGACAATCTGGATGATACGTCCATTGCCATATTCGCCGCGTACCACCGGAATGTTCTGTCTGAAAACGACATCTTTAGATAGTGAAGCCATGACCAAAGGTCCCACCGACGCCCAAAAACTCGACATCAACTCCGAGTCAAAAATGAAGAAATTACCTTTGTAAATGAAGTTGTTTTGATGACAAAGCTGCATTTACGATAAGGGGTATTATTTGATAAATGCCTTTATTTGTTTTTTTTTTTTT